AGGTGATATAGTGATGTGATCTCTATCTGTGCGGTACGGTCGATTACCACTGACGAACACATTTGACATTTCTCTGTACTGACAGTGCAGAAGTAACTGCCAATCGGCTTCTGTTAGGAATGTGTTCTGAGTCAACAGGTTTTCAGATCAGTGAGAAGTGTCAAATTATTCCCTGTGGTAATCGCTCAGCTGTATGCAGGTGTGACGGTTAGAGAATGTTGAAAAATGCTGCAGTTCTCCTTCAGGATTAGATTTGGATTTGGATTAAAATGGCTATGAGACAGTTTCCTATACCTGGACTGAGTCCAATCTTGGACTAAACTGCAATGTCAGTGGAGACTCACTATTGAAAACCCCTCTTAGAGTTTTAGGTTGAATCTGTGTCCTAAACTGGTCCTGTGTGTTTTCTTTAATAGAGATTAGCACACAAAGTTCATCTGCAGTTTCATTCAACCTACAAAGTCAAAAGATGAGCCAAAAACTATTAAAAAACTAACAGCTGTCTGCAAATGTTAAAAAAAAACAAAAAAACAAAAAACAAACTGCTAGTAAAGCTATCAGAGTGACAGATGTCAAAAACGCCCGGAGTGCCTGTGAGCTGAAAGTGCAATAATTTTGATGGAGATTCATTCTGTTGGTTATTATGAGCAAAAATAAACAATTAGCATAAGGTGGCCATGTTTCTTATTGATTTTCTGTCCTCTTGGATTCATGCTAAGTACTACAACTCTGATACACAGCAAGACAGGCTTTTTATAATTACAAGTTGAGTTGCATATTTAATAAATATTTTTAATAATCAAAATAAATGAACTGAAAGACAGAGCTAAATATTAATTTTTAATAATATTAGTCATTTATTGTTAATTATCTGTACATCATAGTGTCAGAAACCACATGAGCCAGTGGTCACCAACCCTCCTCCTGGAGATCCACTTTTCTTGCAGAGTTTAGTGCCAGCCTGCGTCTAACATGCTGCCTCTCCTCTCACCAAACCCATCCAGTCAATCGAGAACTTCTGAAGATAATTAGGTGTGGCAAATTGTGGTTTGTACTCCAGTCCACAGGAAGGTAGATCTTCAGGACAGGGTTGGTGAGCACTGACATAGCAAATCTATTTGAGATTATTTAGCACCTCAGCATGGTTTGAGGCAAGTGTGTGAAGATTTAGTCATGCAGTTTTCAAAATCCAAAGCATGGAAAAAAAACATGGACTCCTACTATTGTTTTTAGCCACAGAACATTATGCTGTCAGTAAGAATAACAAATTTGTTTACAGTGACATGAGTTTTATTTTTGTTAGCTTAAACATATTTGAAAGAAAGCCATCACATGTGTCATTTAGTTATAATGTAAGAAGTCTAGCCTGCACAGACTACATGTAGCCAATTGGGTGACACAGCTCATAAAGACAGTGTGGACTGATTCACACATTATAGCCAGTTGCTCTTAATCCGAGAGCTCCTCTCCATACTGGCTGCCAGCAAAACAGATGCAAGTCTGAAAGAGTGGATCAGACCAAAACAGTTCAGGCTCTCCAGGTAAGACTTTCCAGGTTGAGGCCTCAAAGTTGATCTGCGATGAGATCCTGAATGAGATCAAGGATTTCTGCTCCGAAAGCCAACAAGAAGGTGGAAAGATGCATGTTATCTGCATCTTCAGAGTCAAGCACCTGCTGATATCTGTACTAAAGGATGTCTGTGTTGAGGAGTGCTGGCCCCTCTGATGCCCAGCACTGTACAAAGAATAGGTTGAGCTGGTGTCTTCAAAAATCCTGACATACATCAATCCTGTCCACCTAGGAGCATGTTCTTACTCAAACTCCTGTCTGGCTCTAGAAAGGATTCTTGTGCTAAGCATGAGTTCTCATCACAGGCTGTGGTGAATGGCCACCAACTCCTGATGTCTTTGAAGGGGGATGTTACGACCCACGTTTTGTCTAGGGTGCTGTGGGATCAGTAACATGAGGCATTAAAAGACAATGACAGATTAAAAAACTGGAGGAACAGGCCAATAGAGCTTTTGAAGCCATTTTATTCAAAACAACCACAATAAAATGGTGTGCTATGATACCTAGTACCACACAGAAGAGTCAAACTGTGGACAGCCCCAAAGAAAAGACCAAAAAAACCTAACCACACTTAGCCACTCTGAAACAAAAAGTACCCAGCAAACCTAAAGAAAGGAAACAAAAGCTAACTATGCTACACTTCAGTAATCAAGAGTACATGTGGTAGTGCCCACCCTCTGACCTAGGGAACTAGACAGAGTGGACTTGACATGGTGAGAATGTATAGGCGTGCCCCTCTTACCTGTTTGAATCCCCCAATGGAACAAATAAACAATCCCTTGTAAAACTAAAAAAGTGTGCAGGCAAAATCCCAAAACCAAAGCACTTCCCCAACACAAGAGACAAAGCTTTGTACACCAAATTAAAACAAGCACCAGTAAAACACCTAAAACAAAAGCACCATCCCAACATAAGAGCCTAAAACCACAGCAGACACCCAATCAGTCCCCACTGTCTTCAACCACCTTGAAGGCCTCTTTTAAAGAATAGGCTCCTCCCCCAACTACACAAGCAAGGCCTCTGATTGGTTAGAGGTCCTCCTCACATGACTGATTGCAGAGCAGGTACACCTGTGAAAGGAGAGTCTAGTGACCTCATACAACTCACAGGTGCATTTCCCAAGCACCACTGACCAGCCTTGCACTAACCCTTTAAGCCAGATGGGGGCAGAGGAGGTCATCACAGTGTTTTAAAAAGTGAAATCTTTGATCTTAAAACTGCACTGAACACAGACAAAACAATTAGAATAAGGCAGACATGTTTCTCATTGATTCTGTCGTCTTGGACTGCATGACAGGCTTTATTTATAATTACAAATTGAGGTGCATATTTAATATCAAATATTTTTAATACTCAAAATCAGTGTGAACTGATTATTATTAATCAGTTTACACCAATTTTATTATAATATTTGTCATATTTATTGTTAATTATCTGTTGCAGGTACACCTGCGAAGGGAGAGTCTGGTGACCTCATCAACTCAGACACTTTCTCAGATGGAAGGTTTCCTGCTACATGCTATCAGCTCTTTGGAATGGTCCACTCAGTTACTGTTAAAATCCCCTCATTATTTTATGTTCCATAAGTTTATCTGAGATTTCAGAAGGAGACATTCTTTCAAGCTTTAACAAAGAATCTGAAGTGAGTTTCTTTGAGAAGGCAGTGCTGAAAGAACAGTTGGACGGATGCTGTTTGTGAAGTAAAAGTGCAGTGTGCAAGATTTAGTGGCATCTAGTGGTGAAGTCTGAATCCTGCTCTCTCACCCCTCCCTTTCCAAGCGTGTAGTAGAACTTATGGTGGCCATCAGGTAGAATGGTACCCTAAATTACCTGTCCAGCAGAAAACAGGCAACTTCGGCATCACTCTGACAACATTGGGCCCTCATCAGCGATTTCCATCTGGAAAAGACCACACCAATGTTTATCCAGGTTTTCTGCTGTCACTTGTCCTGATTTTATTTTGATTTTTCATGTTTTTACTTCTTTGACAATGAGGATTCACCCTCCCTCGCTTTTTCTTGTGCCAAACAATAAGTATGATCAACCATTTGTCGAAATTTGGGGTCTCAAACTTCTCACAACACAAAATGGTTAGCCAGCACCGGCAGCAACCACTGATTCTTCTTCTTTCTACGTCTTCCAACTGGTGCTATAGTGCCGCCGTTTGCTCTGGTCTACTGTAGAAACATGGTGGCGCAACATGGTGGCCTCTGTTGGAAGAGGACCAGCTCCCATTGTAGATACGTGGGGCTTACACAAACACACCAATTCCTAGTTACAGGTGATTGTAAACTAATGAAAACATGGTTTTGTATACTGTATCCCATTTTTCCTAATAGAGCCCATTAAAAATCTTACACACTGCATCCTAAATTCAGCATCTTCCCAACATCAGTGCTTCTCCTCTACATTAGAGGAACCATCAACCTCTCAGGCTGGTTCTACATCTATGACCGTCCCACCAATGAAGAAGTCCTCATTCTCCAGGGTTTCCAGGGCTTTCTCAAAAGTCTTTGGTAAATCAGCCAAGCCATCTACTCACTGATGCTGCATTTTCATCACTTAAAAAACCAAACAAACAAACCATCTGCATGTATTCAGCAGTGTAAGTTGTTTTATCTCCACCAAATTTTTGATAATGTCATGAGAGGTTTCTGAGCATTAGAGAGGTGGAGGATGTCAAGTGCAGTACCGGAAGAGAGTAGAAAGGATTATGATCAGTTCTTGTAGCATAAGTCACCCATAGTAAAGAAATGTTCCATTCATAATGTACAGACACAGCAGGTTAGTCTTTCTTTTTGTCATTAAACAAAACAGCAACCTATTTTGGTTTTAATGAGTTTTAAAATGTACCAGAATATTTGCAAACATCTGACAACGCTTTTGTCTTTTATCTGAACTGAACTCTTAGGGAGGTGTGTCATTGTGCTAGCTCAATGACACACCTGGAAGCACCAGTAAACAAAAAAACGCTAACAAGCAGAAATACAGTCTCATATCAGGTAACTAAACGGTCTGCTTAAGGTGTCAGACTTCTGCTGAGAATCCAACACTTCTTGTGTAGATGCATTTTAGTGTAGATGACAGTCCCATATAATGTTGCACCATATAAAAAGTAATGAAAAGTAGCTGTCAGGCTAGCTGCTTGGCTAAGAGCTGCAGCAAACTGCAAACTTTTTTAGCCAAAACCATTACTTTGATGAACAAATGTAACTTTTCAATGTGATAATTCAATGTGATCTACACATGCAATTGTTGTTTTGGTACAGTTACTGGTCATGTACTAGAGCTTACGAGAGATTAGTGTATTCTCCTATGAACACCAGGCAATGCTTCTCACAACGGTGAGAGGTCAGTCAGTGACTCTGTAAGAGACAGCAACAGTTGTAGGCTGGCCTGCTGGATGGTCTATCAAAAAGCAAGCCAAGCATGTTTACACTTTAACTTTATTCTTTTTCTTTGAAAACATACAAAACTGACAGAAAGTCTTAAGGCACCAGAAGCTCATGCCCACAACTGGACACCTCTAAAAAAAGTGTTTTATGTTCCAGTGTTGTTCCCCAGGTTGTGTAATTTACTGCCATAGGTCCATAGTGGCTGAGTGACATTATCTTGGGATAAGATTTCCCCAAGTCGTAGTGAGATAACATCAGAAAAATTAAGGCAACATCTTTGTCATAATCCAAGGCAGCAGGCTGGTTCACAGAAACACACCAACACGTGTCTAAATACTGGAATTCAACACAGCAGTGTAGTCGAACAAAAAGACAAATAAATAGTTATCAAAAAATACACAATTTGCAGCCCTGAAATGATTTTTTTAAGCAGTCAGCAGAGGAGACTTCACAACCTTATGGAGCTCTTACACACAGACACACAATCAATACAAATACAAAATTCATAGCCTCTAAATATTCACACAGAAAAAGCAAGGACTGATTTTAGGATGCATTTCTTGGTATTTTAAGTTTTATGAGTACAAGTAAAATGTCTTGGTCTACGATTATCAAGTCCAATACTTGAATAGGAATCATATTCAATGGGGAATGTACTGAAGTTACAATTGTTCCCTAGTCCCTATACAGTGCACTACATAGGGCACTTTTGCACTGAGAGCCATTTTAGACTGAAGCCGAAAACTAGGCTTGCTGTGTGTCCCAGGGTGAAAAATCAGCAGACACAAAGTCCTCATATCTCACAGTTTCAGATATGAGAATAAGCTCCCCTCCAATTTTACACTGAAAACCAGCTGTAAAAAATGTTCTCACTGGAAGTCAATGAGTTTCACACATCATCCTGAGAATTTTCATACGAGTGATGAAATAACCTTTGGTTCCAGGTCCTATTCAAATCAATGAGACAGATTCACAAATGTTTGCCGTAGTAGCGAATGCCTTGCCAGAAAATGCTCTGCGTAGTTGCATCTGACTACATTCTTTATTGGGCAAATGTTATAGGAAGAAATACCAAGTACCACTCTTAAATATCAGACACTGCTGCACAGGAGATTAATAACATTGCTTGCCAGGCACTGGGTGGTTAAATGGCCATTATATGATAGGTGATCCCACGGTTAAATGATATTTGATATTATTTAAACAGTTTTAAATGTAATGATTACTGACAAACATCCAAAAATGACAGACAAAACAGACATCTAAGAGTATTTATCAGCATTTTATAACTTCACCTCTAGCCCAAGCCATTTTGTTGTATTTTCATATCTCTTAAGTCATTTAAAGAACAACTTCTTCACTGCTGTCCACAACCCACATCATCCCTTCTTCCATCAGTGGTCCACCATAGGACCACCACTCGCCTGATATTATTTGGATGTTGGACGTGGTATTGGTTATGATAGTGTGTGGTAGTGGGTATGACTGCATCAGGCATAACGCTGTCCACTGCTGAGGTTGAGTGCTTTAAAAATATCCTGTCAAGAGCAGCTCTGTGGTCAGAAACTGACCACTGATGATGAGCTAGAGGATGACTAACACAAACTGCACATCAACAGATGTGCATCAGCCTCTAACTGTACACCAGCAAAGGGGAGCTAAAAGAGAGCGGCTTCTGTGCCTGATACCATGACCACATCAGTGTGGAGAATGGTCTACCATTCAAATAATATCTGGTCAGCAGTTCAGATGAATGGAGGGTGGACAACAGGCTACAGTGTAATTATGTACGCAACAGACCTGTAAGGTAGGGGGCCTCATAGGTACAAGACCAGAGTATCTAATAAACTGGCAACACAGTGAATGTGCATCTGAGCAGTGCTTTTTGACTTAAGGTGTAGTTGTATTTAAAGCTGATGAGATGATAAAAACAATGACGTACTCTCTAAAGCATACTGACAGCTGAATGGCTTAAAGCAGGGGTGCGCAACTCTGGTCCTGAAGGGCCGGTGTCCAGCACAGTTTGGAGGTTTCCCTACTTAAACACACCCACTAAACCTGCCAATTAACAGATAAATGCAATCAGGTGTGTCTTAGTAGGTAAAACACCAAACTGTGGACACCGGCCCTCGGGGACTGGAGTTGTGCACCCCTGGCTTAAAGAAACAACGTCCAACAGATCCTTCCCAGCTTCCACGCTACAGGTTTCTGCATTTCTGTGCAGCATCCTTGTGTGCACTGATCTAGAACCGGGATCAGCTCTACTACACAGAGAGACTTTAAACGCATATCATACTTGGGCTCAGGTCTCACTTCCTGCAGAATAAAAGGCATAGATATCCTGAGAAATTCAAACATGTGAGAGAAGCAAGGTAATCTGACAGCTGATCAGAAGGGCAATTGCCAAACCCCGCCCCCAAAAAACAAAAACAAACAAAAACAAACAAACAAAAAAACACTCAGTCAACTGGGCATTGATGCAAGATCAGCCACTAAACTTCGAGAGCTATCTTCCATTTAAAGATTAAATCAGGATCCCTGCTCCATGAACAGATATTATCAATCTACAATACTCTCACGAGTAGTTCAAGCTAGGGTCACTGATTCAAGATTGGACAAGAACACTAATTAAAACTTTTTTGGTCCTCTGGAGCGGCTTCTGACTGACAGTTTCCATGATTTTTTTCAAATGTTTGCATAATTGTTGAAAAGTCATTCAGAGTGGTTTGATATGAAATTCTGGAGAGTCAGAATTGTTCACAGTGGTGGTGAGAGGAAGCAGATGTTTGAAGCTTTAATGCCTCTAAAAGTTACCTCATATAAATGTTACATTCATAGCGTACATTCAAGTGCATTGTCAGGGAAAACAGACCCCAAAGAACTCTCCCTGCCCGAAGTAAAATTGACCATTATCAAAAACATTACATATAAAAACTCAGAAGACACCTGCAGGTTCACTGGTCACGTGGTATGATAAATAAAATGGCCATTGTAGACTTCACAACCCCTTATCACCACCACTGCAAAGAAATCTGAGTCAGTATGTTTCTGTACAATCCACTATTTTATATCAAATCATTCTGAACAACTGAATAGTTTACATTTCAACTATTTAGTTATGCAAAAAATCATTGGGACAATCCAGAGCTAACAATTCAATCCATGGTCACCAATTCAAGACATTACCTCGCACTGGAACTGAAGACCAGGTTTTGTTTTTTTAGAACAGATTCATGATCAGACGTACAGCATCTGAACCTGTTTCTTAGTAATAGTGTAATTTAACTTAGTCAATCTTGAGCTGTCAGACTGTCACTAGCAGTTCAATCCAGGATCACTAATCCAGCTCCAGATTTTAATCATCTCCTGTGGGCTCCTGGGATGCACCAGCATCAAGCTCTGGTAGGCGCAGGCGTTCTCTCTGTACTTTTCTTCGATGTTGAACGTCCTAAAGCCTTTGTGCTTCTCGGGCACCAGGCCCAGTCTCTGCAGACACATGCCTGTATAGACATCATCAATGGGGAACAGGGAGATGTGCTGCGAGACATTCTTCAGGCGTAGTGCCACACTGCCTGAATAGAGGTACCCTCCCCCACCGGCATAGGGCGGGTAGGGTCCCACAAAGACGCTCTCAGGGATGTAGTACTTTAGCTTCTTGTCCCGGTGAGGTCCGGCATTGGTTATCACATCTCCAATGAATAGATCCCGTGCCGCGGTACCTGAAAGTCCACCAAGGTACCTCAGGATGTGGCGGGTGTTGACGAAGACGTCGTCGTCACCCTTAAAGACGTAGCGGGCTGAGGGGCAGTGATTGCCCAGCCACTCCAGGAAGAGAACCTCCTTCAGGGTGAGATTGAAGAAGGTATCGCGGTAATCCCACTGAATAAGGTCCCCATGCAGTGCTGCCTCATGACGGACCATCCCTGACAAGTCTGGGAAGTGGTCAACCGCTTCAGTGTTGCCAAGCAAGAAGACAGTGGCCACACGATGGTTGTCAAGGATGCCGGCACGACCCCAAGACTGCCTGATGGCCTGGCGCCGGTCGAAATGTGGTGCCAGAGACTTAATGGCAAGCAGCAGGAAGGGCTGTTCTGAGCAAACACTGGACACATCTGTTAGCATAGGGTAAGACCTGCACCGCATGTACAGGAGAAAGTCCTTGAAGCGCTGGGGCAGGGAGTTATAGTCCTTAATCTGCATGGTCATGCTGAGGTCCGGCTCACATGGGTCTGCCTGAGTCGTGTAGTTCAACCAGTCGGAGAGTTGTGGGAGCTCCTGGAAGGATGAGTTGCTGGTGGAGACCGCAGAAACAATCAAAGGGTTGTAGATGTGGTCCAGGAATTGTTGCTCACGGTTCCAGAACGCCTCACTGAGTTCAGGCTTCTTCCAGAAGCGATTTGGAGGGACACGTGGTTGTGTGTTGTCTTGTTTGCCCTGGCTGTAGCTCCGGGTCACTTCTACCAGGATGTATATGAGGAAGTTGACCATCATCATCACGCCCAGGAGCTTTGTCTTTTTCCGGCTGGCATGCATCCTGAAGATACGCTCCCCACCTACAAACAAAAACAAACACAAAGGAAGACTCATAAAATATCACTGGGTAAGAAGGCTGATCCAAGACCAGACTTCTTCCATAAGTACACTGATTTCAGTGACTTCCATTAGCTTGGAATGTCATGGAATTAGCCAGGGCTGTCCAAATACAGTATAGCGCTGCATTCACAAGACATTTTGGTATCTGTAATAATGCGTTCATAATCCTTGCTGGTTTGTTTTGGGTGTATTTGAGGGCGAGGAGACTGATGTGGGTGGGTAACTCCAGGCTTGAAGGCTTGTAAGCGAATACTGCTGACAGTTGCTGTTCTTTATCATGAAATGAAGCAAAACTACCTGTGTGAGACCAGTCATTGCCCTGCTATATCTTTATAGCTGAATGTGAGTCGACGGCATCATTGTTTATTGACATAACTGACTGTAGGCCCTGCCCCATGCTGCATCCTATTGGCTGTCGCAGAGTACGCTCTTCTGGTGAACCTTAACAGACAATGGAGTATAATTTTTATGCACCACCATTTGTTGCTGTCATTTCCACTGAAATCAGTGGAAAGAAATGTGTTTTTAACAGATACCAAAATGCCCTTGTGAATGCAGCAATGCATAATCTGATTTTTCTGCTTCAAAACATCTAACTGTCCAGTGACGTAGACCTCTTGGACACCGCTGAGCTCTATAAACTCGTGATCCTCAATGACCTCCTTCAATACTGCTCAAAAATCTCATGCAGCACATGCACAATATCACCACTCCCCCAATATCTACATGCTGAGATTTAGGGAAGCTGTAAAAAAAGGGCCAGAATTGAGAAGATTCAAGATTCAAGGTTCTTTATTGTCACTGAACAGGATACAATGAAATTGGGTGACGAAATAAGCAACCCTATCACCAAAATGTCAACAAGTACTGACGAGAAAATTCATGGAAATGAAAAAGGAATCATGAATAAAACTTAGAACATTAGATGTGTTTGTTAGTTCTTTTGACATCCTTGATACAGCAATAAAAACAGCATCAGATGTGTTAGGAGCGTCCATCCAAAGTGACCACCACAAAACCAAACCCGACAAAAAACATTGGATGTGGAAGTCACAAAGCAAGCAACCCATTTTCTAGCCACCATGACCAGAGACAAACCTACTTAGGTTCAAAGTCATTGAAAGCATTAGACGTGTTATGGAGAGCGTCTATCAGAACACAACTTGTTGTCGGTCTTCACAGTCGGACAGCAAAGAAAAGGGTTCAAAGCCGCCTGATCAATTTGAACCCTTTTCTTTGCTGTCCGACTGTGAAGACCAACAACAAGTTGTTTTCTGATTAGCTGGTTAGCTGTGGTTCAGACTCCAGTGAGCAGTGGGTTACTCACAGCTGGAGCAGGAGCAGGGCACGTCAATGGTGAGCTCCATGAGGGCGCTGGATTCAGGCCAGCTGGGTCCAAATTGCCGATGCCTGTGGTTGGGCCAGAACTGTGAGGGCAAGACCGGCTGCATACCAGCAAGCTTTTCATTCCAAACCCTTCTCTATCTCTTTCCTTTCTTCTCCTCCTCTCTTTTATCCACCGTTCCTAACCTCTTTCCTCACAATCTTCTTACTACTTTTCCCCCCCAAACGTATCCTTCCTGTTTCTTTCCTCCATCTGCTGCTTTTCTTCATCTCTCTCACACGTCTTGTTACCTCCCTCTGTCTCTCTCTCTCTCGCTCGCTCTCTCTGTCTCTCTCTCTCTCTCTCTCTCTCGCTCTCTCTCTCTGTCTCTCAGGAGACAGTAGTCATGTGTTCCTGATTCTTGCATCCTCATGACACCAATTACATGCAGTATCCTGGAGTCACACAACAGCTGGAGAGACGCCCTGTAAAAAGGCGTTCACACTATTACATCTAGCTTCTCAGTGATCAGCCTGTCTCCGGATCTTCACAGTGCTGGAGTTTAGACCTCAGTCAAATCTAACTTCTAAATCAATGCATCAGACAAGTATTTCACCTCTTATAGTTTAACACATATGGCCAAAATATAACAATACAGTAATAATTAAAAGGGGTACAAATCTCTGAACTCTGCACAATTAGTTTCAATCATAATACTTTAAGAAATAATTCTGTGTATTCTACACTGTAAAAATGATGCAAGAAATATGTTAATAAATGTCTCTTAATATTAAAAGTTCAACAAACTGAAAACTGAGTCAACCAAGTTACTTTAAGTTAAAAAGTTCCAGCATTTTTACAGCGTCTTCTATATATAATTGAATGCACAAGTTTGTGCACCCCTGGTCAAATGACATGGTTTGTTGATTTTCTAAGTTAAAATAAAAGATTATTGTTTATTCGCTGAATTTAATATATTGAGGAAAAAATAAAACACAAAATGTGGCCTGTGTAAACATTATGACACATTTTATATTTTGTGTTATTTTTTTCCCAATATTTTAAACTCAGCATATGAATAGAACTTGTACACAAACTAATCAGCAGAAAACTGCAATGCATATTTAGGTTTGTTCACTGTAGAGGAAGTGTTAACTTATCTTCTTATTCATGAAACACAGTCTGGCTGGAGTGCTCAAGCATTTATGTGCCTGTGGTACAATCCAGAAGTTTTAAAAAAAGAAAAAAAAAAAAGAAAAGGAAAAATAAAAAAGTTGTATGGAATCTTTACATAGTAGTGGAATATATACAAGAAGTTTCTGGGGGCATTTTTATACTTGAAAACAGCCTGAGAATTTAGAGCTCATGCCAGCATCTGATATATTTCATGCATTACATTATACATATACACAACCATTTCTAAAATGTAGAAGCTGAGACTGGATCTACCTTCTTTAGCACCACAGAGAAAAATAACATTTATTTCTGAACGGTTACAAATGCAGATATTTTAGAGCAGCAGCTCCGCATCACCTCCAGAATATAAGCACATCATCAAATATCAGGCAGAAATGACATTCACATATCAACACCTGCCTGATGCCAATAATTTTTTTAGACAAATATCTGCCGGCAATGATGATTCTGATATCACGGAGCGTCCTTAATTACCTAGATTTTCCTTTTTGGTTAAATTATAAACACATGCTTATTTACACATTTACTGCCTGTTATTATAATTTACTTTAATTTTAGATAAATACATCCACATCGACTTTGGATTCCATTTCGAATCCAATGTGGTTGAAGCGCCACCTTCAGATCAGTTCACTGATGCATTTTTACACTCAGAGCCAGATTTTTTCATTCTGGCCAGTTTAATTTAAATGATATGTCGCTGTCCAAAGAACAACGTGTATCTTCCTTTTTTACATCATTCGAGCATGGCTGACGTCCTTAACATTGTGTCAAATTCTCGTGTTGAATGGACCAATAGAAATGTTCCAAAATTGCTTGGAATAAAATTTAATTACATTAACTTAAATTGAACGTAAAGAACATTTTTGCCTGTAAAGGGACTGTTTTGGAGATACTTATTTTCCTTTGGACAGCGATGACATTTTAAAAGAAGGCTTCATCAGTTTTTTCTAAATGATGGCTGGTGAGGACCAGTTCAGTACTGGGTTTTGTCTCAAACATTTCAACACACCGTTACAGAAAGTTTGGTCAAATGGGTCACTCTCCGTTTGGAGTGGGAATTCAGGTGGATACATTTAAAAAAAAATCTATTTCTTTCATCCCAAAACTAAATAATCTTAATATGCCCATTAACACCTATTATCATATATGCAAAAATGAGGGTTTAATTCCAAATATATTTTACAGTCACTGGTGTTGTATGAATGTGGTGTAACACCAGTGACGATGACTCCGGTGACATTGTGATTAAAACTGAGGATTTTGTAAATTGGCTGACTCATTGTTCAGGTGACCTTGTGCAACTATTTGATATCAGTAATAAAAATGATAATATGGCATTATTTTGACAATATTTTAACTACCCAGCCATTAAAGTACACAACCAATGACTCATAGAAGTTATCGGCTGCCTGATAAATAAAATTAATAATAAATTAATGAGATATAATGAGTAAGTGTGGACTCGCCTTCTCAAGCCTTGAAATGATTCCTCTCTGATGAGCCAAAGACGCAGCTCAATAGAGCTGAAAATACTGTGTTGAAATGTATTATAAGAGTCCTGATAACACCAGTGACCAAAATCTCTGTGACAATAATTAACAATAATGTAATTTTTAAATAAAATATACTACATTTAAAAATATGTAACATTAATGATATAAAAAGTGAATCTATTTTATACACATTTATTATTCAGTTAAGTTAAACCTCTTTAAAATTTTGTTTTATATTAAAACGGTTTCTCAAATGGTGAGAATTGATTATGTGACAAGCTGTTTTAGATATGCAGAGCAACTATGAAACAGGATTAAAAAAAAGAGAAATTAGAGAAAAATCATAAGGAAAAAGTATTATTTAATCTTAGGTCAGCTGTGTAAATGTTCATACTGACTTTTGGAGCTGTGCCTCATATTTTAAGCATCTTTTTAAGCCCTTCAACTTTGTGACACGGTTTCCCACTGCAAATGGAGAGTGACCCAAATATGCTTTATCTTCTCAGTGGGGATTCTCCACTGGAGACCCTGTTCTACTGTAAAACACTGCAAAAAAACTCATTATGAGCTACAAAAGCGTGACTCATTTACAGACATTTTTAAAACGGTTCTAAGCTATTTTATCTGTAATACGTATCTGGAAAGTTTCTCATTCTACCGGCAGATCAGTTTTAATTGCTTTACGAAATAATCCTTGAAACAAGCAAAATTACCTACCAATAGAATAAGAGGTGACTAAGAGAATTTCACTGGATTAAACAGCTTAAAACAAGTAAAATGTCTAGAAATGAGTTAAATATAGCGTAACATTCTTACAACAGACCTAAATGAGCCGTTTTGAATATACTGACTAGATTTAAAATGATTTTACTTGCCAAGATATCATTTCTTTTCAATGAACTAAACCTAATCAAGCAAAACAAACATAAAGGACATGAAGGTTATTGGAATATTTATAAATCCAGACACTTTAATCCAGTGTTTATAGCAGAGGGTTAATCACAAGGCTTAGTGGGGCCTTAGATCTGTAATCTGGGAAAACACCTAATTTAAGGGTTCATATTTTGAATTAGTGATGAGTTTTTTGTAATAAAATCTGCTATTTAGCTCAGATTTAGCTGAAAATTTAATTTCAACCCCTGTCTGTGCAACAAGGGTTAAATACTTCAATATATACAATACTACACACTGACGTTTACTCATAGAGGCTTTTCATGGCATACACACACACACACACACACACACACACACACACACACACACACACACACACACCCCTCCTCCACTATCAGTACACACTGTGTCTCTTTCTAGCCATATAATTAACACTAATCTTTCATGTCTGGGAAGAAGCAGCAATAAAGAAAGAGAGGAAAAGAGAGGGATGAAGGAGGGGTTTACAGTAACAGAGCTTAACTCCTAACATCAAAGATGAACGCCATGTGCCTGAATGTGGGCTGTAGAACCATGGTACAAAAGTCACAGCACTCACACACAGTCTTTTATAGCTCGGGCAGATCAGTTCAGTATCATGCTCCAGCAGAACTGCCCCACGTCACGGTCAACACACAGTGAAGTGGCACTCAGGGGTTGCTTATGACAATGATTAGCTGGATTTCTCATTCTCAGTCTTTTTTCAGGTAAACATATGCTCATTCAAATTTGAGGCCTGCACCTAGTTCTGTAAGGCAAGGCAGGGCAAGCTTATTTATATAGCACCTTTAATACACTGCTGTCATTCAACGTGCTTTACAAATGAGAAAATACAGTCATTTAAAAAAGGAGAGTAGAAATTAAAAACGTGATTAGAACAATATATTTAAAAGGGAAAATCATTAAATTAAAAATCAAACTAGAAATTAAATTAGAATAGTTAAATAAATTAAAAATGAAAAGTTTGGATAAAAAAGTGCCGTTACAGAGGAAAAGAGGCTAGAAACGCTAACCATGTTCAAACTGAGCTGAAAGCTGCTCAAACAGGAATGTTTTGAGCCTGGAGTCCAGTGTCGGGGCTCTTCTAATGCTCTCTGTTAACTGGTTCCATTTAGGAGCAGCATAGTAGCTAAACGGCAGCACCTTAAACTCTATTCTATATCAGACTGGTAGCCAGTGTAAGGATTTAAGAATGGGGGTGATGTGTTCCATTCTTTTACTCCTAGTGAGACTCTGGCAGCTGCATTTTGAATCAGCTGAAGCTGTTTGATTGTCTTTTTTGGGAGTCCAGTTAGGAGACCATTACAGTGATCAATCCTGCCAGAAATAAAGGCATGGATGAGTTTCCCCAGGTCTGTTTAAATCAGAAAATCTCTGATCTTGTTGACGTTTTTAAGGTGGTAAAAAGCTGATTAAGTAACTGCTTTGACACGACTGCTGAAAGTCCATTAGTACAGCAAGGTTACGTACTAGCTCTTCAGATTTTAGGGCTCCTGAATCCAGATAGGCAGCTAGTCTGTGCCTCTCGTTGCTATTCCCAAATAAAATAATCTCTGGTTTATCTATCTTCAACTGCAGAAAGTTATGGATGTGCTCAAGGCACTAATAAAGTGAGTCACGGGGACCATCATTGTTAGAGGGCCAAGTAGATCTGACATTGTGTAACATGCTGGAAAATGGCTGTAGGGATGGGCAAAATGGTGATATGTTAACATTATCATGATAAACTACATGAACATGAACTGCTGAGCATATCATGGGTACTGTTTGAACTTCTAGAACACACTGCTTTATTCTAGAACACATCGTTAAAAAAGATTTAGACCAATTCAAAAGAGCCTTTAAACTACAACATGAATAATCCGCATATAATAACTGCTTAGTAACAAGCAGCTGATTGGGTCTCGGTCCATTGTGACATCACCTTAAACAAGTAGCTGATTGGGTCTCGGTCCATTGTGACATCACCTTAAACAAGTAGCTGATTGGGTCTCGGTCCATTGTGACATCACCTTAAACAAGTAGCTGATTGGGTCTCGGTCCA